AAAAAATATAGGAAATAATATACAGGTACTGATTTCTTTCGAAAATCGACAACTATGAAACTATGAACCCTTCCTGGACACAAACGGTACATTGTGAGACAGGAAATTGTAGAGAGAAACAAGCTCTATAACAAGGAATACAACATTTTAATGCACAGTGCTTTCCATAAAATCAATAAAATGAAAAATATTTGAAATAATATACAAGTACTGATTTCTTTCGGAAATCGACAACTATGAAACTATGAACCCTTCCTGGACACAAACGGTACATTGTGAGACAGGAGATTGTAATTATTTTTGCAATATAATGAAGTCATAACAAAAGTTAAGCGTGCAAGGGAAAAATATATTAAGGAATTTAGTGACTATGTTTTTATTAAACGTTTTGATATGCTTGAAGTAGCGGGTATGAAAAAACGAATAACTCCCTTTGAAGAAAATTGGGGCATACTTTATTTTGTCCACGATGAAGAACTTCATTAAAAAAACCTTGTACCAATAAGTAAACTTATGTTTATGAATGTTTTTTTTAAATTGTTTTGTTCTATAAATTTTAATAAATATACCAAAGAAGTAAATTGTAACTTTAAGATATGTGGATCCGCTTGAATATTGAGGTGATTTCAATGTTCTTAAAAGTTTTATTTGTTTTATCGCCCTGTACGATAGAACAACTTTTACTGGAACCTTTAGTAAATGTTACTTTCACTAGTGAATGTTAGAAATTGCTAGGAAAAGTCGACAAATCTCCTTAAAATACCACATTTTCAAGATAACTTTCCGTTAGTCATAGTCACTCTTATAATATTGTTACGTTTTTCGTCGGTTCCGTGTGGATAGAAAGTCACAATTTATTTAAACACTATTTATTTAACACTAATGAACAAAAATAACAACGATAAAAGACTTATAGAACTATTTACAAACGATTTATAACTAAGAATTTATTTTGAATTTTAGCGCGTCAACTGTATATTTATAACTGCCCCCTGTAGGCCACGGCCGCCGGCTTTTATACCGGCAGGTAAAGAACTCTAGAATTGTCCATAGATCGTTAGGTGCGTAGAGAAGGTTTTCGAATGTTCTCGTATGTACTCGTCCATTCCAGTGGGACTCGATTCTTCTCGAACGAATGAATCATTGCGGTGTCTATGCGATGTTAAGGTCATCCGAGGGCGGGCCATATTGTGAGGTTAGGTCGAGTCCACACCGGCCCGCAACACTGCCCCCTTCTTAGGTACATGCTCGTCCCGAGATTATACGGTGAATGAAGGTATTTGCAAAGCTGGCCCCTGGTACATTGCGAAGTCTGGTAGAAATAGCAGTCTACAGTTTTCTCTCCCGATCTCAGCTTTGGGTTGTAGCAGCAAACGAGGATCTCGATTCCCGTAAATCTGAACAAGACTTCAATCATGTTCCGGATTGTACGCCAACTCAAACCATCGAGTCCACACGCCAGCTTCGGAATGGCTAATCGTGCAATGTTGTTGTTTAGCAGGGCTTCTCTCAGTTCAATCAGGGTCTTCCATAGATTGAGATAAGTCGGCTTACTCGGGGACCATTCCTTGGTGACCAGGTAGAAGATGTGCCTTGCTTGACCATGTGCATTGTCGGTTAGCCTCAAGACGCTTCCAACCTCTGGATCCTGTCGGCGTAGTTCTCCGACACGCCCAAACTTCTCATTGAACGTCGCAGCGATTCCTCTGGACATCCGCAAATCTCGAGCCACACAATGAGCGAGCGAATAATCAGGAGGCACGGAAAAGAGGTCTCGTTGATCTTCTTTGGTTACACCATAGCGAGCCTTCTCACTGCTGTTGTATCGGGCCATGAAATCGTCAAAGGACATCTCCGAATCAGGGGGATCAAAGCTGCAGGTTCTCACGGTCCCAGCACGATCTTCTATTTCGCCTTGGTAGGGGCTCAAACGGTTGAAATGGACTACCCTCGGTTTTCCTTTTGGCAATTTTCTGATACGGTATACGACGTCATTAATTCTATCCATGACTTCGTATGGCCCTTCCCACGAGGATTGTAGCTTCGGAGATAACCCACGACGTCTCTGCGGGTTATATAGCCACACCAACTTCCCTGGTTGGTATCCTCCATGCTCAGCTTGAATGTCGTAGTGTTCCTTCATTCGGTCACTAGCACTTTGAATATTTAGGCGGACTCTCTGATGAATGTCGTCCATCCTTTGACGTAGTGTGTGGACATAATCTTCTCCGGCGACTTCTTCTCCCGGTCGGCAACCAAATTTCAGATCACAGGGTAGGCGCACTTCCCGTCCCATAACGATGCTGGCTGGAGTTTGCCCTGTAGATTCTTGGACGGATGAACGGTAGGCCAACAGGAACAGGTGAAGAAATTTGTCCCAGTCTCTTTGGTGGTCAGAGACTACTTTGGCCAGATAACGGTTGATAGTTCTGTTCATGCGTTCAACCATCCCATCGGATTGTGGATGTAGAGCAGTCGTCCTGGTCTTGCGGATGTTCAGGACTTCACAGACGCCTTGGAACAGATTGGACTCAAAGTTTCTTCCCTGATCTGAATGAAGCTCCATGGGAACACCAAACCTGCAGATCCATTCTTTAACAAGGGCATCAGCAATCGTGGACGCTTCTTGATTTGGCAACGCGTAGGCCTCGACCCATTTGCTGAAGTAATCCATTACTACCACAATGTATTTGTTGCCATCGTTCGTCTCCGGGAAAGGACCAGCCACGTCGATCGCTATTCGTTCGAAGGGACTACCAACATTGTACTGGCGCATAGGGGCTTTACCACGCTTTTGTGGCCCATTAATGGCTGCGCAAATGTCACATTTCTTACACCAGGCCCTCACATCTTCTTTGCAGTTCACCCAGTAGAACCGTTCACGCAGCTTGCCAAGTGTCTTGGTAACACCAAGATGTCCTCCGCTGGTTCCATTGTGAACTTCCTCCAAGACTTCTGGGACCCTCTTCTTTGGAATGACGATCTGCCTTCTCTCTTCTTGCCCTCCGGTCTCTCGATCACACGGCGAAGTAGTCCGTTATCTATTACCAAGGAATTCCACTGGGCCCAGTACGACTTCACGTTCGGCGAATATCTGCAAACTTCCCCCCACGTTGGTCTCTGGTCCGCGTTTTTCCAGTTAATCACCAAGCCCAACTCTGGATCGCTGATTTGGTCATTTGCAAGATCTTCGGTTTGCCAAGTATCACCAACCACGGTCGTCCTTAAGACTTTCACTTCTTTCTCTTCTTTGCAACGATTTCCCATCTGTCCGCAATTCCAACAGCGAATCGGTCCCCCCTTCTTGCTCATATACTGATCCAGTACTTTCCGCACAATCCTTTCCACTTTGGAATCGTCGGAACACTCCTCAACAGCCCGTACAAATCCTAGAGACCTAGAGCATTCTTTCGCGGCCTCAAATTCCAGGGCACGTGCTAGGGCATCTCCCAAATGCGTTGGATGAGCTAAAAGAAGTGTTTGCCTTGTCTCGTTGTCACGTAAACCATCAATAAAAGCCTGTACTTTTAAGCGCTCCATAACATTTTCGGGCATAGCAGGGTACGCAAGGCGAACGAGGCGGGCTACGTCGGCTTCAAACTCCTGCAGAGACTCATTTGACTTTTTGAATGCGATTTTTAGCTGGGAATGATAGACATGTTCCAAATGAGCTTGGCCGTACCTCATTTCTAAATGTCGTACCAATTGCTGATAATCTCCCTGTTCCGATGGTGACAATGTCTGCAGGATATCAGTCGCATCTCCTCGCAGTGCGACAGTCAAAGCGGTAGCCTTTTCAGCGATTGTCCATTCGTTCGCTCTCGCAGCGGCCTCAAACTGGCAAAAATAATTGGCCCAAGCGGTTTTTCCGTCAAACTGTGGAGGCTTAATAACTGATTTTGAGATATACTTATTTTCGACTAGTTTCGGTGCCTCCGATGTTTCTTGACATTTTGGTGAATTTGCCTTTGCTATTTCTTGTTTTAAAATTCGATTTTTCTATTTACATCTTCCTCAATCTCTGTTATTTTATTGTTAAAACTTTCTTCCAAAATTACTATTTTATTATTAAAGCTGGCCTGTATATCTTTAGAATTTTCGATGATCTTATCTTCTAATGTATTGATTAAATCCTGGGAATTTTCCATAATTTTATCACTGATTTTCTCTTCTAAATTAAATTCCAAGTCAATTATTTTACTATTCAAATTGTTCAAGTTGTCGTCTAATTTTTGTAGGCACGAGTCAAGGTCACCTTCCAACTCAAAGCAAAATGTGTCAGGATCCTCACCTTCCTCCACCAAAACGTCTCTTAGTCTAGCTTGCAAAATGCTTTTCTTTCCATCTGTTTCGCATTCCCTCTCTTCCAGAACGCTTTTTAATTCCGACACTTTCAAGTCTTTCAACAATTTTTTCGGAGCCATTGTCTGTCTTTTTATTTTACTAGTCTATCACACACGCCACACTTGACACCAATTGTTACGTTTTTCGTCGGTTCCGTGTGGATAGAAAGTCACAATTTATTTAAACACTATTTATTTAACACTAATGAACAAAAATAACAACGATAAAAGACTTATAGAACTATTTACAAACGATTTATAACTAAGAATTTATTTTGAATTTTAGCGCGTCAACTGTATATTTATAACTGCCCCCTGTAGGCCACGGCCGCCGGCTTTTATACCGGCAGGTAAAGAACTCTAGAATTGTCCATAGATCGTTAGGTGCGTAGAGAAGGTTTTCGAATGTTCTCGTATGTACTCGTCCATTCCAGTGGGACTCGATTCTTCTCGAACGAATGAATCATTGCGGTGTCTATGCGATGTTAAGGTCATCCGAGGGCGGGCCATATTGTGAGGTTAGGTCGAGTCCACACCGGCCCGCAACAATATGAATTTAATATCTCCCAATGTTACCTTTAATTTATTAGGTATGCAATTTGTTAAGATTTAATTAAAAGTAGTTTTGATATTTTAATTTAATTAGATTTGACTTACTTTTATTTCTTGCGCTGACATTTGCTATAGAAAACAGCACCAGACCGATCATCAAATAATATCCAAGTGCCATAGTTGGTACATCTGAAAAAAAAACAACAAAATAAAATTACCACTGATGAAACTTGAAAATCACAGACTCTAAATTGTTAAAGCATCTGCGTTAAATATGATGAAGGTATTTATTTGAAAAAATGATAATTTTCTGTTACACCATCATGCCATTGAAGATGATTTTGGTATAATGGGACAGAAGATTTAATATAAAGCGTAGGTTGTATGATATTTTGAAGATTTTGCTGGCAATACAACAATATAGAATTATTAACCTGTTTATGAATTTTAAATTATAACGTATTGTTGCTTGAAGAAAGTCTTTTCTGTGAAAAGATTTAGCAACTTCAGGAAGAAAAACATAATAATATTCTTTTAAAAGATCTATTATGAGAAATATACAAAAGGTTTAATATAGCAATCGCATACTAGAATTGATGGGTGTCATTTAAAGATGATTTCATATTTTTTAACAAGAACTTCGTTCATATTGTCTTGTTTTATTTATTCTTTCGTTTTTTTTTAGTCTTTAATAAAATACAGGATGTAAGTATAAATAAGTACTAAAAAATCAAGATTTGTTGATTTTTAAAAAATAAGTGGATTTTCTCATTGATAATTTTTCGATGTGACTTTTTTTGAAGTAACGACAAAGTTTTAAGTTTTTCTAAATTGCACTCCCAATTTTTCTATGCAGAATGGGATTCAGCATAAAATTCTGCATATACTGCACTATCTTTATATGAAACACTGTGCGGTGTTGCCATTCTATTTCTTGTTTACTGAAATTTTAGTTAAAAACGTTATATCCGAAAAGTGGTAAAAAACTGGAGTTAATTTAACTTTATCAATACATAGATGTATTTTTTAAACACCAAAGATAACAAATAATAATTAAAATATATAAAAGTTATATATCTTCTACAGGGTATTTTTTATTGCGTCGCTAACACTGCCATTTTTAAAATGCTGTATCTCAATTTTTTTAAAAGAGTAACACTTTGTATATTATTTTTTTTTTAGATGCAGAATTAAAAATTGAACATTTTTTATATATTTTTCCAAAGCAACTGTTAAAATTGCCTTATATCTATCAAAAATAGTAGATAAAATAGTACTTTAACCGCAAGGGTAGATTAAATGATACTTTAACAGCGAGGATAGGTTAAAAACTTTATTTCTTCTCGCACGTTTTTTAAGTGCTTCGATTTTTGAAATTTTTTGTATTCCTTTTTATAAGTAATTCGGGATTTAAATGGAAGTAGTTTGGACACGGCGTTTGTCGCTTCGGCGTGAAGATCTGTTGGTAATTTACTTATTTCGTTTTATTTCGTTAAAGAGAATTAAAAAATATTGACTCAAAACTGACAACTAAAGAGACAGCTTTATTTATTTGTCAAATTACATAGAAACCAACGCCAACCCAGCACAATATTTTTTCTACTCGTAATAAATTCCTTGAAATAATAATTTCTGAATATTTTTTAAAACGTAACTCGCAGTGAAAAAAAATATTGTTTTATACACCACGATAAAATTGCATTATCGTCTCCCGAAAATCTTTTCGGTCGTTTATAACTATAAAGTGTTCCTAAATTTCTAATGGTTTCAACAGTAAATTTTAATCAAAGGCACCTAATGATTTTTGTCTGGTATTTTACCCTTGAAAGAGCCATGTCTAATATAGTAATAGTAGCCTGGATATCTGCAAAACTGTTAAACATATAGGTTTTTTTGTTACACTTTAAATATAAAAAATGAGTTAATTTTTTAATTCTGCATCTGAAAAAAAAATATACAGTGTGTTACTTTTAAATAATTTGAGATATAGCATTTTACATATTGTCATGTTGACAAAGACTGTTGACAAAGACTAAAAATAATCTATATAAGATAATGTAAACTTTCCTTTGCAGATTTATACTGTTATCTTTGATGTTTAGGAAAATATATTGCTAAGCATTAATAAAATTAATTTCACTCCCATTTTTAACCACGATATCGGATATAGTACCATATGATCGAAAAAAACAGTGTCCAGTTGGCTTGGAAATGACGATCGATGAAATTCCCCCATATAATTTTCCATATAAAATGACAGCGATCCTCATTTTATAGTCATCGCTGACGGCGGTTTTTTTCGATCAGTAAATAGAAATAAAAGGAACTCAAGAACCTGGAAAACTCCATCTGTAACCTGGAATGGCGATCCTCCAACGGTCTAAGACACTGGAAGAAATTCCTCAGAACATACGACCGAGAAAAATCAAAATTTATCTTTGATTTAAATAAGAGATTAAATTTTTTATTTACATTCAGTAAATAAAAAATAGAATGGTAGCACTGCATAGTGCTTCAAATGAAAATAGTGTAATTTATGAAGCATTTTATGCTGAATCCAATTTTGTAGATAAAAATGGAGTTGCAATTAAAAAAAAATTAAAACTTTATCATTATTTTTTATCGGGAAATGCAACAAACTATTTTTAGGACATAGCACCTTTAAAAATCAGTTGACAGTTATATAAAACTCTTCCTCGAACTATTAGGCCACCCACTATGTCTGTTTTTCTTTCTAGTCTACTTGGCTTACATAATAATTAAATAAAGATGATGTCGAAATACGACAAAACTGACAGAACGATGCGAAAATCTAGTGACGCCTGTCTTCACAGATTCAGGTTGCAATCAAAGTGAAATTGTTCATCACAGGAAATTTGATTTGCAGTTGCCATTTTCATTATGCAAAATCGGAACTGTCAAGCATAATAAACATCTTATTGGCCAATCGTTACGTTTGTATTCTAAGAAACGTAAATTTTCGAACAGTAAATATGTCCTTTTGTCGTAAGGTAGGTATTTACAAACATTATTAAAGTGATTTTGAAACATGCGTTAGTCATATAAATTCTTGGTTTATTTTTAGTTTCAGCTTATACAGGGTGTCCCACGAAAACAAAATTCTATGGCCCCCTTAGTTTTCATAATTCTGGGTAATTTTGAAAATATTGCAATATCAAATATCTCTCATAACGACTGCATGTCAAACTCTAATTAGCAGAATTGTTATTTTGATACCCCTCATTGTGAGTCCCTATCTCTAGGGATGGTACTTGGTACACAGACGATTCTGGTTTCCATCTACTGTTCGCCATAGTTAGAAAGTGGAGGCAAATGTTTTATTTTATGGTATTGAGGGTAGTCGTTTGAATTCTAACAAATTGACATTTCCGAAAAAAAAATCTTGTAAAATAATAAAAATATAGAACCCAAAGGAAATTATTCGTCTGTATCATTTCTAATAAACAGAAGCGATACAGAAATAATTTTAGGGAAAGCTAAAAACCGAACTGGTAATAAGAACATTTGCAAACAACGGCATGTGTGAAGAATTAAAAGAAAGTAGCTTGTGTGTTCGTTTTTAGTTTCATCTATTAGTCATATTTATTTCAATGCCAATTTAATAACTGTACTAATTCAAGTGCAATGAATGCTTTTTTTAGTTCATCACAAAAAATTTAACATACAGTAACTAAAAATATAATATACATCTTGAGAAAAATGCATTCTTTTCTCTTCAATAGATTTCATATTTTTCCAAATTTTTATACGGTCTTATTTGAAAAAATATGCTTGGATTTTTTCTAGGTCATAAAAATCAAAATCAAAACCCGGTAAATAAACTCTATGGTAATTTCATTCAGTTTTAATTCTTTGGGGGATGAGCATTATCAATATTAGATTAACGTCATATTTTCTTTTGCTCCTTTAAATTCGTACAGAACTTATCTATTTCAATGCAACGGAAATATATATATATATATATATATATATATATATATATATATATATATATATATATATATATATATATATATTATATATATATATATATATTATCGGGTTGTTGAAGAACCTAACGAAAAATATTATAATTTTCTTGTAATATTAGAGTTTTCTGTAGTATGAAGAGTTGGCAAACGATATATTATCAAAAACATTTTTTGGACACTGCTGAAGTGAGAAAAACGAATCCAAAATGTTTCTGTTGTTTTTCTTTTAGTCTTTTAGAGTTATTGGTCGAGGACCAACATAGTACCTATAATAATACTTAGTAATAATGGAAACGAATTGATTTTATCATAGAGACGACATGATCTTTGACCTTATTAAAATTCAAACATATTTTAATTTTTTTAACGGTAGAGAAATTTGAACAATATAAATCACTTTAGAACAAGCAACATTTTTTACGAAGAATGTATTTTTCTCAAAATATTTATCAAAATATATTTTAATTAATTAATTAATATACAGGGTGGGTCTTAAATATGCGCAAATATTTTTGGGGGTTTTATATTTTGACCCCAGAAACACGATTATGAGGTTTTTTTCGTGAATTTTTTTTGGAAACTTTTTTAGATTTTAGTTAAAAAACATAATTTCTTGATAAAATGGCAACATAGTAGTAGATTAAATTTACAAGAAAGAAAATCCAGAAAAGATCCTGTGGTTTTCAAAATTTTAGCAAAAACTAATTTTTTGGTAATTTTCAAAGTAAAATAACTCGGTATTTTGGATTTATTTGAAAAACGGTAAAGAGAAAATATTTTTTTTATTGAGATCTACCAGCCCTGAAAATATTTGCATTTATTTAAGATTCACCCTGTATATTCCTTAAAATATTTATATTAAAAAATGTGCAAAAATAAAATATTTAATATCGACTCAAAAAAAAAATAAAAGCACATAAAAATTTATCCTGTTGTTTTTTAAACTAAGTAGATAAAAATAAATTTATAAAAAATTCAAGTTACACTTAATTCCATAAAAATGCACAAACCTAAAATTTCAGAACTCAGAGTATTACAAAAATCAGAACCCCGTTGGTTTTTTAAATGACGATCGATGTCCATCCCTCATATAATTTTACATATAAAATGACAACGGTCTTCATTTCAAAGCCATTTTTTTTTCGATTATATTGTGTATATTTCTAGAAATCCCAGTATAAGCTCAAAAATAACAATAATTGTTCTATCTTCTTGAAAACATATTTTTTAATTCGAATTGAATAATTCAAATTAATATTTAATAAATAGGTACTCACTCATTAAAGTATGACACAAATCCTTAAAATATATATTTGAAAAAATCCAATCATACACTTAAAAAAACTGTCCCTTTTTTGTTTTTTAAAATACGCGCGCGATTTTAAAAACGCAACAATACGAATATCTCCGGAACAACGCGCGCGCTGAATTTCTCTCTTCGAATGACGAACCGCGAATCCGGAGCACACACACGTACAGACCCCGCCGCGATGCCGGATCGAGGAGCTGCACCAGTCCCACTGACCGACTTTCCTCCTCCACCGAAGAAGAAGACGACAACGTCCAGGTTGTTGGTACGGACACAGACGCAAACAAGGGGGACACTTAACGAGTTTAAGAGAAGTCGCGAGTCAGTCGAGGATGAAGCCTATCGGTGGAGGTGGTTGGTAATTCCAGGTCTTGTACGGTCGGCGTCATCGTATTTTAGACTTGTTACGTCAGGGAGAAAGAGAAGAACGAAGAGGTCAAGAGAACAGCGTGTCCGGGAGGGTCAGATCCTGATAGTTTCGCGAAAATAATTCAAAATTTCTTCTTCTTCTCGTGCGTTAACTTTTGAAAGAGTATATTGACGTCAATTCTCAATTGCTAGTAGTGGGAACTATCGAATGAATACTATCGAAACATTCGATAGTTGCAATTCATTCGAATAATTCGATAGTTAGTAAGAAAACATTCGTTGAAAACTATTCGAATAAAAATTATCGAATAGATCCGTCATCTGCCTTGAAATATTGTATTCTAGTAATTCGGCAGCAAAAACCATTCATTTATAAAATTCATTCATTTATGAAATTCATTCATTCGTCAGGATCGATTATAATAAAATATTAACTGAATTTTAGTTGTCGCCCGGCGACGTAGGTTTCTTTCCGAGAAATCCGATAGCGGTCGGTGGCAATGCTATGAAAGAAGCCGGCATCTTTGATTTTTTGCGGAGTCAGATATAGATAAGGACACATTATTTTTTTTATTGAGGTGCTAGTATTTCCACAGAAAATACATTATGAAAGGCGCTGTTGCCATATTTTGGTATTAGTTGATATTAGCAAAGAATATTATTGTTTGGCTTTAGTTAATTAGGGAATATATAGACATACTATATATTCTGCATTTTTTTTATTAATATTCTGTTGTTACGCTGCAATAATACTTATATATATATTATATATAATTATATAATAATAATAACAGTAATAATTTGTTATACCTATTAACAACAAAATTTAAAATCATTTAATATAAATATTTTCTTTTAAGTAGTAGCAAAATATAAACAACAAATTAGATGTCAAAATTATTTATATTAGATCCTATTTAAAAATAATACAGTCTCTAAATTTTTTGACAACGTTGGTTTATTAAATAATAATAATTACAGAACTAATTTGTTATATTAACAACAAATTTTAAAATCATGAAATATAAACATTTATTAATTTTCTAAGCATGCAGTGTAATGGAAGGAAAATATAAATAAAAAATTAGAAATCAAAATTATTTATATTAGGTGCTTTATATTACTATTTAAAAATTATATTTACTTTTACTGGCATTTACTTTAAAAAATAAATGAAATATTTTTTCTTCGCAAAAAACTACATGTAAGAGAATTAGCATAAACAAAATATAAACATCGTAAACTTTTTTTTTAAATTGGCACGTGTAAAACTTTCATTTTAATTTTCTCACCCCATAGTTTGAGTTCGATAACCATTTACTTAAATATGAGTAATTCATATTATTAAAACATCTAAAATACAAATATGTATTTTTAAAATTAATTGTAAGTTCATCTCATCTCTCTTAAAAATTGCTACTTCTCAAAATTTCCCATTAAAAAATAGACCATATACCATATAAAATTAAATAATTGAAAGATCGGACTACGGAAAACCACACAAATTTTCGGAAAAAATTTGACCACCTGCACATGCACACAATTGTCAATAAATAAAATTAAAAAATAACTACTATTTTAGTATTTTAACTATTTTAATAAACACAAAAATAGCGCAGTATTTATACGGCGAAGTTATAAAAATTTGGAAGAACTAATAATGCACCGACGCATACAAAAATCAAACGAATACTAAATTTCATTTATCAAAAGCATTCGATAGTCGTGGCTCAACGATAACCATTTAGTCGAACGGCGAGGTTGTCACATATGCTTTAGTAAACAAATGAATGAATGATTTTATTCGAATAAAACCATTCGATTGTTGATATCATTCATTCATTAACCATTCGATAGTCTAATTCATTCGATAGTTCCCATCGCTATCAATTGCGCGGATCGTTGTTCTCCATTCCTGTCTATTTTGAGTCGCTAGAGAAGCTTTTTGTAGCCCGTGACCAATATTTTTTTTAGTATGATCCATCCAACGCGTCGGGAACCTTCTAACGAAGAAAACCCCGAAACGATCCAGTAGTTCTCAAAATTTAAACAAAAAACCATTTAAAATATTTTTTTTTCATAAAAACTGTTAAAATCGTCTTATACATATCTATCAAAAATAGTAGATAAAATAGTACTTTAACCGCAAGGGTAGATTAAATGATACTTTAACAGCGAGGATAGGTTAAAAACTTTATTTCTTCTCGCACGTTTTTTAATTGCTTCCATTTTTGAAAATTTTTGTATTCCTTTTCACAAGTTATTCGGGATTTAAATGCAAGTAGTTTGGATATGGCGTTTGTCGCCTCAGCTTGAACATCTGTTGGTAATTTACTTATTTTGTTTTGAGCCATTTCTGGCTCCAATTCAATCAGCAATCGACACAAAAGAGAGTTAAGTTGACTCAAAACTGACAACTAAAGAGACAGCTTTATTTATTTGTCAAATTACATAGTAATCAACGCCAACCCAGCACAATATTTTTTCTACTCGTAATAAATTCCTTGAAATAATAATTTCTGAATATTTTTTAAAACGTAACTCGCTATGGAAAAAAAGATATTGTTTTATACACGACGATAAAATACCATTTTATCATCTTGTATAAAAAATAACTATAAATGCAACTATTATATTGCCACGCGTTTCCTTTGAAGGAAATTGATTAAAAAAAAAATGTTAAATTGTTAAATTTTAAAATTATTAAATTGACAAGAAAAATTATGAAATTAAAAATTTATAGAGAACCGAAAAAAAATAAATTAAAAAAAAAACGTCTTATTAAACTGTGGAGTGTGCGTGCAAATAGGCCCTAGCTCTGCCGAAGAGATGGGGTGGGTTTTAAGCGCCACTGGCTTTGCACAGATAAGCCAGAAAACCCCCAAGATATTCTTGGAATCTAACAAGACGTGTTATTAAAAAAAAAATATTAGAAAGATAAAAAATTAAGGGATGAATGAAACACTAAGATAAATTAATAGAGTATTGTATAATGATATTAAATTAAAAAAAAAATGAACCAAATTTGATGACGTTGTATATACTAAATTTAATTAAAAATTTAAAACTGAACCGTATGTATGTACCTTGAACTCTGGAACCTTGAATCAATATAAGATAAAAAAAGGTAAGTAAGAAAAGGGAAAACAAATAATAAGGGAAGATAAAATTTCAGTAAACGTTTACTTGTTTCTGCTTCAAACCTGATCCAGCGACGTAGTTGCCAAGCTCAGTGCTTCAGAAGGATACCACTTCCAGAGAGACGTACTGGAAAAAGTCTGTCAGAAAAAGCAAGCCAGAAAAATGCTTCGTAGAAAAATCCTCGTATAAAAAGAAAAATCCTGGCCCAAAAAAAGTTCTGGTCTCAAAGCCTGGTGGAAAAAATCCTGGTCTTAAAAGCCTGGTCCAAAAAAGCCCTAAAACCGAGAGCGGTATTAGGTTTACGAAATAAAAAAGAAAGTTACCTAGAAGGGATAGATTGAAACAAAAGAAACACAGCTATAATTAATTAAATAATCAAAACACGTTTCAACTGTAGAAATATAAAAAATATCATAAAAAGTTACCTTGCTGGGCTTCACAAAAAATCTAGTTTTTTTTTTCTAATAGATGGATGTTCAAATTGCTGGATTCAGAAAGCAGAAATTACTGGAACAGGTGGTGGTTTTAAGTTCCTCTTCCCAAGAAAATCGACGATGACAAAGAAATAAATCAAAAGGCTTTCCCTGTTAAGAAATAATTTGAATAGTACAAATCACACTAGACAAAATGGCGATCAAAAAAAACTTACCAGCCACGAGCAGATTAAAATCCCGTATAAAACGGCTCAGAGATACTTTTAAAAGGTAAGGTACAACTCAAACAGCAAAAGTATCCCTTATAGTTCTAGTCAGTGATTATCCCCAACAAACGGGTAAAACAGGAAAATTCCAACAAATTACACTGACTAAAACACCTGCTTTAAAGCTGAAGGGAAAAATGGGAAACCTACATCGATCAGATAGAGTTCCGGTCCGAAGAAATTTGATTTATACTGCAAAGTTGCAATTTAATATTCTGGGAATTTAGAAACATTGCCAAAATAAACATTACTTAGAATTAAAAGTAAATTCCAATAACCATTCAAACACAAACATACCAAACCTTATGCCGGTGACGATGCATACAAAATATTACGGAAAAGATGTCGATTATGCAATCAATAATTATCAGAAAATACAAACATCAGAATTTAAAGGAAGTACTGCTCAACCTGACAACAGCGTGTATGCGCCGAATTCACTCATCTCAACTGATCTGAGCAATTCAAATATAAATGACATTATTAATAATAATTGTTAACCTTACAATTTGCAGTAAATAAACAAATGATAGATTTCAAAAAATATGCAGGTAAATAACTTCATTTTGAGCTCTATAATGAAATATAGGATCAAATAATATTTTAGAGACAATCCACACTTGTTAATAAATCTTCTAAGATAATACAAGGACAAGCAGTACCGCAGAACTACTCCAAATTACGGCAAATAGGCCAACATTCAGAAACATAAACAAGTCCAGAAATTAAAGGTAATATTTTGGTGAATTTGCTTATATTAGCATAAGATAATAAATTTTAATTATATTTTAGATCATTACCGATTGATTACTGATTGAGATATGGCATGGAAAGCAAAATAAATTAAGCAAAGGAGAGTAAGAAAGATAATGAAATATAGCTGTAATGAATATTTGTTTATAAAAATTAAATGCAATAAATTTATTTATCAGCATAAATAAGAGTCTGATCTAACTTGTAAGAAAAATTGGTATATATTTTTAAACCAAGTTAAAGCTAAATTTGGACTGTTACAATATATAATATATACAAAAACCGTTGACGTTCTGTTAAAATTACATTATATCAAGTAAAACTTCAAAATTATCTGT